TCTCCATCCGATAGCGAGGCCCATCGGTCTGAGGGCCCAAGGAAACCCGAATTAGATGTTCGGACAGATCCTGACCGTTCGAACTGATGACGTGGACAGGGCAGCAAGCGGCAGGCACTATTACGCGTCGGCGAATGCATCCGACGTGGCATTACAGGTCCGAACTAGATCTTGCCGTTGAATTAAGTAGTAACGGATCTCAGCCGTTGATTTAGTTATGACGTGGGCTATAAAAGAGGAATGTGGATGTTTTGGGAAGGTGAATAGATAGAAGAGCTGTTTTGGGGGACGGGAAGCTTCGATTTTTCCGTCCAAACAAACAAAATTTTTCTTCTTTTTTCGTGAAAATTTTAGTGAGCTAAGAGCACTCGCTTGTGGATTCGTGAATCAAAGAGGTATAAGTTTTTCATAGATTTTTCTTCTTTTAGTATTCAGTTGTCTGATTTATTTAAGCTGTTGGTTTTTTTAATGAGAAAATTTATGGTTTCGGTTTCTTCTGCTACAAGAAAAATGGTTATTTTGTTTGGATGGAATTCTAAGCTGTTTTGATGATTTTAGGCGATTTATTTTGGCTTTAATTCGATTTTGATGATTTTTTTCTTCTGAGATTGTTAGCGTGTTTGTAGATTTTTATCTGTTTTCTCTTCGTTTGTACATTTCATGTGTTTTTGATCAGTTTTAGGCTTTTGGAATTCTTTGAGCTTAAGGCAGCATTTTTGCTCTTTGCTTTGATTTTTATTTTTATTTTAATTTTAGTAACTTCATTATCTCTGTTCCTTGGATTTCTAGTTTCATAATAAAGTTTTTTTGAAGGATCTTGAATGACCTTACGCTGTGGTGAAATGGGTTCTTTTTTCTTAATTTTATGATTATTTTCGAAATTTTAGAGAATCCAAGGATTAATTCAATTAAATTTTTTATCTCTTTTCTTTCTTTTTTCTCCCCTCGCTTTTCTCTTTTCTGATTTTGTACCTTTTTTTCTGTGCCTTAAATGGATCCCCGAAGGCGACGTCGTTGGTTGGCTCAGTATGTCAGTAATCAAGAGAGAGAAATAAAGAAATAAAGATAGATATTTCAGATGTAAATATATTCTTTTCTGCTTTTTAATAAAATCGTATTTTAAAAAATGATTTCTTATTTAAAAATAAATTTAGAAAAGGTTAGAAAGAAAGAAACAAAAGCCCTTCTCTCTCGGAGCATCTTGCCTTTTTATTCTCCTTTTCTTTCTCTCTGAGTCTTTTTTTTTAATATAGAAAAAGATCAGAGCTTTAGATAAGAAGAACAGAGATTTTACTGCTTTCCAAAAATTCTCTCTTAAATATATTTACTTAGGGTTTTTTTGGGTTTGTTTTGATTCGATGCCGAGATCTGAAGAAAAACTCATCCTCTTCTGCTTCCTCTTACCTCTGCTTCAGGTGCTTATTTTTCCCCCTGTATTTCCCAAAATGCCCCTGTCGTGGTTCTAGCTCTTGTTTCTTTTTCCCCCCGTATAGAATTGGGAATGGGATCTTTAATGGGTTTCTGTTTTTATCCTCATCTTTGGAGTTTATCTTGTCTTTCCCTTATCTCTAAGATTTGATTTTTTTTAGTAATTCACTTTCAGCAGTTAGCTTTTCTCTCTCTTCACCTTCTTCCTCAAGTGTCATTTTTGTGCCTCGTATTAATGGACTTTAGCCCCCCCACCCCCCACCCCCCCAAATAAATAAATAAATAAATAAATAAAATAAAAAAAATACTCTTAGGATGCATCCTAATTTCCAGCCTGATGAACCGATAGTTTTGTTTTTTTTCTTCACCTTTCTGATTTTGGTAGGAATGACAGGGATATTTCATGTTTTTATTTGTTTGTATGTTACCTCTTGGGTTTCTTGTCGTATCTCTTTGTTTGATTTGATTAATATCAGATTTGTCATGTCTTGGTTTTCCTAATTTGAGGTTTGGATAATAGACTGTATCTTCTATCTTACTTTGTATAGTCGTCAGTTTTTTGGTATTTTAACACACATAGCTAAGTGTTGCTGCGTGATTTATATATATACATATATTTCTATTTTGATATTCTCATGCTAATCACCACACATACCCTATGATGCCCATAATGCCCCTCCCTTTCTATTTAATTACACCTAGGCGAATAAAATGCGCTCTCTTTTTTTGCTTTGATAGTTACATAAAGACTTATATGGAGGGGTTAGTCACATTGAACATTTTCACAAGAATTGGGATAATTTTAATATGGTGGGATATTTTGTGGGATAATTTGTGCAGTCGAAAAGTATAAAATTCATGCATTTTGATGATATAACTATGTCTTTTTTAAAAACTTATTATTATTGATTAATAGTTGTTTCTATAATGTTAGTTAGTGTAGAATAACTTTTGGTAGAACTACAGTATTTTGTCAATAACTGTTACAGTACTATGTAGTTATCTTATTATTTGAATTATTATGATAGTACAAGTCTAAAAAATATTTCTTTTCTATTTTCTTCCTATTTTTAACTCCTCCAAATCTCTTCCTTTCATATCTCAGTTTCAATTATGTTTTATAAATTATGGAGCTATTAATTTTTCACTTTAAATTAATCATAGAGATATAATATTTGGTAAAACAAAGAAAATAGCATGTAAAGAGAGGAGTAAGAGGGGGAGATGGTCGTCTGATGATGGCAGTGGCCATTGGAGATAGACAAGAGAATGATGAAAATGAAGAAAATATGAAAAAAGAGAAAAAGAAAAATAAATAAGAGAGTTCTACTTTTTTTTACCAATTAGTTCTAGACTAAAACTTGGGGTAATTTGAGAGACTAGGACTCTCACTTTTATATGGAGAAATAAAATAAGTGAGATAATTTTGTACAATTATCATAGTTCTAATTTTGTTCTAGTTCTACTGCACTAACATGATATAATTTTATCCTACTTCTAGTTCTAGTTGACTAACACTATAAAGTTTTATCACAGTTTTAGTTTTGAGTTCTAATTGGCTAACCCCTCAGGAGATAATTAGCTGAATGTTAATTATTTCTTTTAGTTATGTCTGTTACTGAGTTAATTAATAACAGATGCTTGGATTTCTTTTGCCCCACAAATCTTTTCTTTTCTTAAGTAGCTTCCATTTTGGTAGTTTCTTCCATCTTGCTTCCTCTTTCTCCTTTTTCAGCTACTTTATTCAGTACCATGTGTTTAACACTTGCATAAGTTTAGAAAAAATGGTATTTTTTGTGATGCAATGGAGTATTTTGGATTCAATACTATGTTTCATTTGAGTTTGCCAATGTCATATTTTTTGAATTTGTATAATTTTTAGGTTCCAGCAATAATAATGATGGCATAGGAATGTGCTTGCTATATATACTGTTGTAAAAAGAGAGAGAAGCTAAGGGGTTGAAGTGGAGTTCCAGTGACAGGGAAGAAGAGTGCAGGATGAATGTCAAATGCAAAGGTGGTGGTGGCGGCGGCTCAGAAGGAGAGGATGGTTATATTTTTCAATCACCATCAAATGCTAATGGTATTAGCAGTAGGAAGAGAATTAAACTCCAAAAGGTTAATTTTTTTTCTTTCATCCTTTTCATCATCTGTGTATAGAAGCAATTCATGTTCTTTGAATTTCCTCTCTTTCTTCATTATTCCTTATTGTTTATCTTCTATTGGAAAAAAAAAATATTAGGTATCAGGCGATCGTTGTCCTGTGGATCCTGCTTTGGTGCCCAGGAGAGTTCGGTCAGGTGTGTTAAATTGTTTCATTAATGAAAAAATTGGTGTTTGTGTATACTAATTGAATTGCACACCCCCCACCCCCTCCCTCTCCTCTCAATTGATGCCTTTATGACTCAGAATCTTTAGTTTTCTTCTGTGGTTCTGTGTTATTGTTCTTTTTTTCTGTGGTTCTGTCTTATTGTTCTATCTTTGTGGTAGTCAATATACATACTACGGTTCTGGTGGTATTTGATAAATTGCATCACTTTTTATTTTTTTAACTTATCAGTTAAAAGTGTGCCCCATTCCTTAATCATTTTATGAATTTACATGCTGTAGTTTTTTAGTTTGTCCTTATTGGAAGTATTACACACTTTCTTTTCTACTTCAGCAATGAAAAACCGCATCAGCCAATCAGCATCTCCGCCATTGTCAGATACAAAGAAACAACATCATGCTTTCGTGGGCACCCAGTTGTTCAAAGGCTCTAGTTCAGAAGGATTTAAACAAAGAATGGTTGGTTCATAAATTATCTCATTGAATAAGCTATTCTTTTGATTCTATGTCGGTTCATCGGCTTGAAACTTTACCTATTTTGTTCAATTAGCTTGATGAAGTCACAAAAGATGAGGAAGAAGTTGCTGAGGCCTTGACTTCTATGGCGAATTTCATCACTACCAAGCCAGTTAAGACAGCAGAAGATGGTGGGAGAATATCAGAAGAGAATCTAGATAAAAAGGCCATATTGGCTCCTTGTTTAGAAGGTTTTAGATCAGCATTCTCTCATTGATTGAGTTTATTTCCAACAGAGATATTAAATGGTTAGTATGATTTAACAGCTCCAGAAGAAGAGAGTATAAAGCTTTTGATTCCATGCAATGATACCAAAACCAGCGATCCCTTAGAGGAATTTTCGCCAACTGTGAAGGCTGACCCTTCTACACCGGGGCAACCAGTTGCGGTCTCTGTTAGTCAAAAGTTAGATATAGAGGCAAATGGAGATCTATTGAACCCCCTGAGGAGGAAATCTTCTAATATGGAACAAGCAGAGAGTTTTATAGATGCAATGAGCTTGTCCAATCCTGTAGGAGCTCCGCAACATCTCCCAGTAAATGGGTGAGTAATTCTTACTCTCTGAAGGCTTATTTTGTTGTTGGTAACTCTTACAGTTGTTCATTTTATCATTCTCTGGTCTCTTGTTTTTCCTGCAGAACGTTGCAGCCAAATCAATTGGACTCTGGTCTGGTTCTGTCAAAAGAGATAGGACTTTGGCCGGTAATGCTTCTTCTCTTGTGACTTATTATTATCGTTGTTGTTTTTGGTGTATGATGATATCCATTCTCATTGTTTGTTTGTTCATTTCAGCTAGGACCTGCTTCACTTAAACCTCAGCTTGTTATGCCTGACGGCGAGAAAGGTAACTCATAACGGCTTTGATCTTTTTAACTATATGAAATTGTTTGTATCCAGATTATTTCTAAATGTTCTCTGACGATGCCATGACTTCAATCCTTTATTGGAAACAGCTCCTAGTGTGCAGCCTGGATCTTATAGCAGAGTTCATGAGCAGTTGAAAATGTAATTCCACAATTTTCCACTTGCACCAATTTTTATCTCTTCAGTTTATTTTCGCGGGTCTATAATGCCAACTGACTTTAATCTGCTCAACTCAGGCCTTCTTTGTGTAAAGTTGATGTTTCAGGAAGATGTGGCAGAGTGAACGGCCTTCTTATGGAGAAGGTAAATATTGCTATTTGGAAAGATGATTTTCTTGCTCAAATCAAAGAAAAGGGCTAATTCCCTTACCAATTATCTTGGTGTTTACCTGTGTTGTCTTGTATATGCTATTCTTCCTATTCTATAATGTGTGCTTATAGCAAATGAAAGCTGTTAATGCTTTACTCAGAAATGGTCTAGTGTCCTCTCTTTGTTGGTCCTTGATTAATGTTAGGCTGCTGTCACATGGTGCTAGTTTTTTACAATAGCATTTTCCTGTAGTTTTCTCATGGATAAGGTACATGTACTGACACTAAACAAAGAAACTTATGGGTTTTTTCTCAAAAGAAGAAAATGGTTGCAGCCAAGATTCATTTGTCTGTCTATAGTAGTTCATGGATCCCAATCGGGGCAAGATCTGTAAGAAATATGACAGGCTAATAGTATATCATGTTTGAGCTTGTTTCCTTACATAGAAGAACTATAATTCTAGTTTTGTCTATTCCATGTTTGTTTCTTTCATATGTGAGCCTTCTCCGAATATCAGCTAATCTCATATATTTGCTTATGAAATTTGAGAACTCTCATTTGTTTCACATTTTTTCATAGGATAAGAATTTATCCATTGTTTATGTCTTATCTCTAGTGGATATCACTTATTTCAGCCATTCTAATTCTCTTGGCAGCTCCCCTTGGCGTCCATTGATAAAAAGCAGCATTGGAGTAGGTGTATTACTCACGTTAACATAAGCCGTCTCATCCAACACCATCAAAAAGCAGAAAAAAAGCAGTTGCCTACACCACAACTCAACCAAGTAAAGCCCATGGTGGCAATAAATCAGAGTTTACCTACATCTTGTGGGACTTCTGGATCAAGAAATGGTATGATTCCCCAGCTGTCCAATGGATCTCTAATAGAGAGGAATATGCTGGAAGCTAGAAATAGAATGCTACAAGATGGTGGGAGGCTTCAACAAGCTCAGCAGGCAGCTGCGTTACCTGGAGCCTATGCTCAACAGAAACAGGTGGTTACTTGTCAAATCGTTTTATTAATTTTGCCTCCTACCTTGGTGCTTGTTATGACTAAATCTATTAGTGCTGTCTACAGGGTTGTGATTTTTTGTCCTTGTCGGCTGTTGGTGATACTAAGATCTCAGGGAACGGGATGAAGTCCTCTGGGCAGCTTCTTGTTCCTTATCCTCCTAATCAAGGTGTTATGCCTTTCACATATTCTCGAGGTTCTTATACTTCTCAGTATCAGGAGCAGTTTGCAGCTGGAGCCAGTCAGCAGGTTCGATCTCTTTTCCAGATTATCAATATTCCCTTAGCTAAATGTGACAGTGGATACAAAAGCGTTATGATTCCGATTTGATATATATTCCTGTGCATGCATTCACTCAACCCTGCACAATGGCGTGCACAGTTGCAATGATCTCTCAATGTTATCAAGTGTTTTTGAGCAAATTATGTATAAGATCCTTTAGCCGCTGACTCCATATTATTCTGGAAAAAAACCCAATTTTTATGGAGTTGTGTTCCTCCATGATGTTGGGCTGGTGTTTAGCTGATGTAAAAGGCTGATATAAAACACATCAGTCACTACAAGTAGATCATAGTTGATGGCTTGGATGTGTGCCACATCTACAAGACATTAAACCCCACCTACCCTCACCTTGACGGGACGCCAGCTACTGTTTATTCTATATTTCAAAACCTAGAATTGGTAAAACATATGCAAACTTCTCTCAGACAGGTTTTCTGTTCATTGTTCCTAACAATACTGGTTACTATTTGATGATTTGATGATCGTGTCTTTCATTATCTCGTTTTCTTTCTCATGCTTGTTGCTCATCAAGTATTCTGTCAGAGGATCCCTCAGCTAGTACCTGTCATTTGAAAGCTATTTTAACCCTGTTTGGCCATTGGGGTACCAAATAAATTGTACTTAGCCCAGCCTGCATCTCACATTTATAGTGTGTTTTCTGACTGCTACTTAGAACCAGAATAAACATTTAAAATGCTGCTTGTTTGGTAAATGCAGGTACAACTACATCTACCAGCCTACATGTCTAACAGCCAGTTGTATGGACAACATATGGGTCAAGCAGCAGGAGGTGCAGCGACACAGCAGCAGCTGATGTGGCAGGCCCATTTGGCCCATTACAGGCCTCCGGTCAATTTCACACTGAAATGGCAGGACAATGGGCGGCAACATGAGTCTTCTTCTTCATCGTCTTCTCTTGTTCAGAATCCTCCCTCGATATTTCCTCTTCCGGCAGATAATAGTTCTCATAATATCCACCAGCCCTTTGTGATGCCTTTGCAATCATTGTCGTCATTGTCCTCAAGATCAAAACAGAAGCAGCAGCATAATGGCAGTGGGCTCAATCCACGGAGCTCGTCTCAACTGCCAATGATATGCAATGCAGAGAGTTTTAGATAATTACTCTGGTTTGGTTATTGGTTACTTCATCCTATTGTTTGAAGGAAGCACTGTGCCTCCTTTCTTTTGCTCCCTTAGAGAAGCAACTCCATTGCTTCGGGGAATTGGTTGTGACAGCAATACTGCAATTGGAGGTGGCGAGGATCAAAGAACTCGAGCATAGTGAGTAAACTTCAATGAGGCCATGAATATGGAAACCTGAACGAGTCATGAAGTATGGATTTGCCATGTATGCCAACGATTGTTCTAAAACTGATATGTAGGAATTACTATTACAAAGTATGTGATGAAGAAGGAAGGAAACAGGTGGTTGGAAATCTTTGAGCTTCTTTTTTATGTATGCTCTATTTTGGAGCTGAGATTGGTCATACTTTGAGCATTTCGGTGATGTAAACTTTGTTGTAGATCTGTACCGTGTGATGGAGTAAGATGTGTATATTCTGATCACTATATAGGAGTTTGACTAGGGATATGGTGTTTTGCCTTACAATTTATAAAAGGCTATAAATAACACTTGAATACCTTATAGTTTGCCCTAACTTCCACTTAATATTCTCTTGTTTTTTTAGGATGCATGAGCGTACTTTGAAGTTTCTAAACGTTGCGCTTTAATAAGCGTGAGAATTTTGCTCTAAATTTTATTATGTGTAGGCACATACTAATTTTTGTAACTTTTAACCCTTAATATTTATTGAATTTATAATTTAGCCTACCCTAATTCTATTTTTAACATACTCCAATTATATTTTAAATTAGAATTATGGTGGGTTAAACCAATTAACCAATATACAACAAACAACACGTGCCAAAAAACATTCTAAAATTAACTTTTGTGAGCGTCGCGCGTGTTGCTAGAAACAAGTGAAAATATTTAAGTGCAAACTAGAGAAACTCTAAGGTATTAATAATAAGTGATAAGTGTACTACGAACTTGCTAGTATTTCACACTATCACAAACTAAAAAGTGAGACAATGACGAGTCACTACTCTTTTTTTTTATTATAATTTTCAAGACAGGAACCTATTCTTTTATTTGTGTAGTGCCAAACTAAGGGAAAAGTTGGGGTGCAGTTATCATTTTTTCATTAATAATTGCGTTGGGTAACCGCGCCTGCAATTTTTTTCAGTACCCTGCCAATAACAATTGCGAATAATCTAATACTTAATATTCTGAGAATACATGTGGATTGTACAGTGATCTTTTTTACTACTTCAGAGTAAATCAACTTTGAAAAATTCCTCAAGGACCCAAAATATGGACCCAAAATATGAGACCAATAGAGGGGATAAGTGAGGTGTCTCCCTCCTATTAGATAATGAGTTGGCCATCATTAATGATGACCAACTCATTATCTAATAGGAGTGAGACACCTCACTTGTCCCCTCTATTGGTCCCATATTTTGGGTCCCTGTAGCAAAGCTCATCAACTTTTGACTCTTTGAGTTGCTTTCTTCTGCCCTTAAGTTGACATGGAGTTTAAAGATTGTATTCATTTCTCATCTAACACGCATGATCAAGGATCTGTAGGAGGTTGGACCCCAAAACTTTTCAATTTCTATGCGAAGTTACTGCCAAATTTATGCCCTACACTAATCTCACAAGACTTCAACCTCAGCTCATGATACATGGCGGCAAATCCTATAGACTAACAAAATAAATAAATAAGTAAATAAATCCGTGCTTCATTTCTGTCAAGATTTCAATACATCCTTCCGTTTTCCTCTAGTTTTCCCTGTTCAAGATAATAGTCATCTGTGTTACTCAAATAGATGATTAATTAGAAATAGCGAGAGACGAGATTTGAGACGTCTCTGCTGGCTGTTTTCAAAAGATGCACTCTTATTAATCGGTCGAACCGTATCGACCACACGAAACCTCAATCGGGTCGGATCAATTACAGGCGGCCGCTACAGAATTTCATTAAACAGCGGAAGTTGGGTTCCTTTTTTTTCCTCTCGCTGTTATTATTTTGAGGGGCCGTCCGTCGTCAGTCTCCGTTGAGATCCAGCGTATCTAGTTGTCCGCGCCTCCAGCTTCTCGCCATGGGGATTAGGGTTTTCTCCTTCCTCTTCGCTATCCTCCTCGTGGCATCTCCCCTCGTCCATGGTAATCATCTTCATCTCTCTCGCTCTCTGAGTTCTGTTAGGGTCTAGATTCAGGCTCATTTTGATCTGTTGAACCGATTGGATCTGTTCGAGTTTGGTCCGCTAGGGGTCTCGATTTCAGTTCATCAATAACCCACACTGAATCCATCAATCAAGATCGGTTATGTTTTTTTCTCCCCCTCCTTGGATAAGTAGTTGATTGGTAGAATGAGTAGATCGGAGATTACTAGTTCGACTGAGAACTTCTTGTTAATTTGGATCGCCTTAATTATTTTTAGTTTCTTAGTGTTTCATCGGATAATGGTTAGATGAGCTGTGTCTGGCGGCAAATAAGGATGGACTGTTTGGCAGTTTTTTATGTGTTTGAATGATAAGAAAGTTAGAAGGTGCGCTCTACTTTAAATGACAGGTCAATGTTATAGCACTTAAAAGAACCGGCCATTTCGAACTACATTAGTATTTAGAAAATGATCCAAGAAGATTTTTGAAGTTACGTTATTTTGAAAAAACGCACATGACAAGATGTGCTTACTTGTGTATGATTTAATGAAAGCTCAAACTGGTCTAAATGGTAGTCAACCGAGCAAAAGAGTTTTACTATATTGTGCATTCTATTTTACATTGCGGACAAGTTTGAGGGTAAATCCTTTGTTTTAAATCTTTGGGTTTGATATGTGAGCCTTTCTTTATGCTCAGCTTCGTCAAGGGCTACCTCCTCTATTAGATTGATAATAACAGCTTAAATGACCCGGTTAGTGAAAATTAAAAACTGAAGGTTTGGCATAAAGCTATCTGAGATGCTGAATATTGGCTAGCTAGCTGCTGATCTGTATTATATTCTTTTTTCTAAATTAGTTTTTGTTTATTTACTAGAAGTAGGCCTAAGAGAGCTTGGTTGGAAGCAAATAAGAAGGATATGAGTGGTTAACCTAATAAAGGAGATCGCCCTTCTTATCAAAACTGAATGGACGTAGGGATCATCTAGCCGACTCCAAATTTTTATGATAAAGGCTTTCTTGTTTTGCTGTTATCTTATTTGTCCAGTTGCATAAGAAAGTTTATTTATCTCATACAGGCATTTAATTTTGGGGAATCCGGATAGGTGAACGTATCCACTTCTTTTGCATTCTTATGCAGGGTTCGCTGTTTAAGAGATAAATTCATCATGTCAATGGACATTCAATTAGAAAAACAAAACAGTTCAAGTACCATATCCGATATTGAAGTTTTAATGTGGTGCTAATAAGGTTTGCTAACAACAGTTCTAGACTTCTAGGTAGTATATCATGTAACTAGTACTTAAAATTTTTTCACTTAAATCACTGAAGCCTAGAATATATTACAATGGTGAATAACCACTTAAATGTCTTATAAAAACTGCTGCTTATGTTCATATTTATGAGTTTAATCTATTAGATTGGACAACTACTGAAATTTGATGTATATCCAAAAGACTTGTTGCCTTTTTCAAGTATGCTTTGTGTCATGGTAACGGTGTGGGGTACTTGGTACATTACTTTGGGCAGCGTATGGTGTGGGGTAGAGTCATTCCATTCACTGTTTTTTCGGTTGTGTCTTGCCTACTTATCCCTGATAGTATGCATACTTTTTGTTTAGATGTGCGCACGCACGCGCACACACACAGAGACACACACACTACATAATTCACTCATATTAAGATACAAATGCATACATATTAGTGAGGTCCTCTCCTGGCTGGATTATGGTCAAAAAGATTATTACTAGCCCAATTGGATGCAAGAGTTAACGAAGAATTATCAATATATAAAAATATGAATATTATAGTAGCACTTCTAATTAAAGCAAATAATCTGCAGCCAAATTCCAGCCATTAAAGCCATATTTTTTTATTATCCAAAAATGTTGAACTATGTCAAATAAAAATATCTATATTTGGTCTTATTGTTGCCTTCATTGAGATTGTGCTTTGGGCGGCCACATTCTAGCAATCAGGATGAACGCACCACAAATCAAGTGACATCACATTATCTGATCACGGATCAATCAAGGATGATAGACAAAATAGGTAATACTGGCCTTCATCTGTAGTTTTGTGTCGTTCATTGAAAAAATTGGAGTCACATCAAAAGTACTAGAAGCATCCCAATGATATGTAATAAAATCCAGTTATAAGAGTCAGCTGGCCTGCTAAGCAGTTATTTGGAGTCTTCTGCTTCACAGCGTTAAGCAGATTTTTTTTAAACAATCTTTATAATTGACATCTCAGGAATCAGGATGACACTGCTTATTTAACTGCATTACATCTATTGATAAAATATTGAATCAGCATCCACTCTTTTGCATTAAGCTGTTATTTAACTGCATTACATCTGGAATAATGTGCTGCTTTCTGATAGTTGTTAGATGCGAGGCGGATGCAAATGAGGTAGTATCCGAAGATGCTGGTGAACTTGGCATTGTTGGTGATGAGGCCCAAGACTTCAGTGACAGTTCTCTTACTTCAGCTGTTGGAGTAGATACTATATGTGTTTTCCCCAAAAACCCAAAAAGATGTATGCATGCATTCCCCTGCTCTCTTCTGTTTTTTTTAGGCAGTTGTGAATTACTTATAACTGTCTTCTATACTGCAGCTGTTCCAGCAGGAGAGGAGACTGAATTGCTAGTTGGAATACAAAATGAGGGTACTTTGTTTGTTCACCTTAGATCACCAATGATGTTCCAAGTTTGAATACCACTAATTCACTTTTTTAATTAGACAATCTTGGATGTCTTTCGTGTTATGTTTGAGCAACCTAAGATCTGCTACTCCTTTTATTTTCATGTCTGAGTTAATAGGTCTATTATATGTGCAGCAGTGATCTGTGTCTACACACTTGTTTTAACAACTGAATGATGTCCATAATCATTTATGCAACAAATACATACGATGGATATTGTGATCCTGCTGGAATTCAGAAAAGGAGCAAAGTTTTTTTTTTCTGATCGTGAAGTTCAGAAATATGGGAATCTATCTCCTAGCTCTGATCTGATTCCCTGTAATCCTGTTACATTTTTGCAGACGATTATCATAATAAATCTTAATAGGAGAGCCTTCTAACTAGGATAGCAATTTATGTTGTGACTGTCTTGTATATTTTTTGTTTATGGTGGTTTTTTGTTTTAGTTTGTATCTTAGCGTGAGAGATCTCACTGAGTTGTATGTTTTCATTTGTAGTTATTGGTTCTTCAATTCAATCTGTTTTTGTGCAAGTTATCTTCAATTCAATCGTTTTTGCATCTCCCAGATTATCTCGAATCTGTTTGATTTATGCAGGTGAATCTAGTTTGAATGTCCTTGCTATCAGAGCCAGCCTCCACTTTTCTTTTGATCACAGCATGTTGGTTCAAAATCTTACTGTGCAGGTAAGAAAGCATTTTGCGCTTTAGTTCTTTTTTTTGCTTTCTGATGTCTAGTTCTAAATCAGTTGTGCCTACACTGACCTAACAAAATTTCAAAATACACAGTTAATTAAATGCATAAAGCTTACTTGTTTTGTTAAAGTCCTCTTACTGAAAGGAATCTTGTTCTGATATATAATATTGTAAAATCTATGCTCGGGGCTTAAGGCTTGGCTTAGCTATCTTTTGTTGGTGCTAAAAAGAGAGTATGTGAAAGAATATAGAGTTCTCTACATGAACATAGAGTAGTTCTAGGAGCAGAATTTCTTCCACCTGAGTATGAGGAATGTATCTTGTTAAATTAAAATAGAGTTCTCTACATGACAAAATTTCAATTAAATGCACAGTTAATTAAATGCATAAAGCTTACTTGTTTTATTAAAGTCCTCTTACTGAAAGGAATCTTGTTCTGATGTATATTATTGTAAAATCTATGCTCGGGGCTTAAGGCTTGGCTTAGCTATCTTTTGTTGGTGCTAAAAAGAGAGTATGTGAAAGAATATAGAGTTCTCTACATGAACATAGGGTAGTTCTAGGAGCAGAATTTCTTCCACCTGAGTATGAGGAATGTATCTTGTTAAATTAAAAAACTGTCAGTAGATGGGAGAAAAGTTTTTGGTGATGTAGGCCCACCATTTAATAGCTCCATATCTGACATCATCATAACCAGTCATCTAGACCTTTTACCTTAGAAAATGGTGTTGCATGCCAAGTGCAACACCACATTAAGAGGGCTTCATAGAAAAACAATCCACAATTTCAGTTAATCTGACAATATTAACTTATCTGCTACTAAAATTATAAAACTGTGAAGCTTATTGCATGACTACTGTACTCCAGCAAATTCGAATTCCAGTGATGGACTCTGGAACAGGTTTAAGTGTGTCTGTGCTCACAGATGCTAGCATCTTTTTTTGCCTATGTTAATATTTAGTTATCTCTTTCATTTAAGAAGTATAGTTGATGCGAAACAGGACAGAGGGTCTATCAGACTCAACGATCTAAATCAAATAATACACCGTTTCACCAAACTTCATGATCTTTGGCAGGAAATCAAATTTAAAACAACTAATGTGACTAATGGATTTTAACAAGACTTGCATCGACAATTATGAATAATTCCAATCTCGATCAATTTAATCGCGATATTCATTATCAGGCACAAGTTCCACAATCAATAACAAAGTTTAGCAGTCACATGTTCAGTTACTCTCAAGTCACCAATTTAATCAAACAATGAATATATATGATAAAAGTTTAGAGATAGTATACTCATGCAATTAACTAACAAAATAAAATTGATAGAAAAATAAGGGAAAGAAAACGAAACCTTCGTCGGTCTGGACAGACTCGACGTGAGAGACCTCTGGAGATGGTGTGATGACAACGGTGAACTGAATGGCGATAACGAGGCGGAGATCTAACAACGACGAGTACGACGGTGTTGAACTGATGACGATGCGACAACGGGATGAGGGCGATGCGATGAACCGCGGGTAGTCGTCGGGTCGATGCAGGCGGCAGACGTCAGGACGATCCCGAAGCAGACACAAGACGAAATAAGCGGCGGCTCGAAGAGTGGAGGAAGACGGAGGAAATCGACAGCTGTTGAGGTGGTTCTGGCGCTTGCAGAGGTGAGAACGAATCTCGAAGGTAGGAGAGCAGGGAGGGATGCGATAGCTTGTGGAAGAGGAGAAGGGTGGGGGCAGTCAGCAGGGCTTGAGGAGGTACTGGGTCGATGGCTCGAGGGAAACTGGCTGGAGGCGATTTGTGGAGGATGGCAGCTAGTGTGGGCGGATGCAAAGGGGGGGAAGGCAGGGGCGGGAATGAGGACAGGAGAAGGGGCTGACGACGGGATCGACAGCTATTAGGAGATGGTGAATGGTTGGGGTTGAGGGCTGATGTGATAGGGTGCCTGAGAATGGGGAAACATGGATTGGTGTTGTTGGTTGTGAGTGGAAGAGGAGAGAGAAGCGGTGAATGGAGGTTGTGAGATGAACGGGAGAAGATAGACGTTTGACGGCTGGAAGAAGAGGAACAAGTATTGATCTAGGGTTTCACACCCAATGCCTAGGTTTAACACCCAAATTAAGCCAAAATAATTTTCATTTTAAATTTTAATAATTCATTCCTTTCAATAGTCTCATTCAACCTTATTTATAAAAAAAATTACGTGCACACAACGTGTAATAAAAATAGAAACAAAACATCAATCGTTCAAATCACTCAACTACTAAAATTAAACTACAATTCAAAATTTAAATTTTAAAAATTAAAATAAAATAAAGTTAACTAATCAAATATGAAAATTGTCATTTCTTGTCCTTATCATTCTCCCCGAGTGGGGGAAAATTCGACTCCGTCGAGTTAGCTGCACGTGATTTTCACCGTGTTTATCAGCGTAGGAGACGTCGCGTTTCAGCATTGTGGTTTTGATTTTTAGTTAGTAGTTATTTCAGTAGTAGTTATTTCAATTGTAATAGTTAATTTCGAATTTCGAATTTTAGTTTGGATTTGGTAGCTAATCAGTTGTAGTACTGATTGATTGTGAGAGATTTTGAGTGATTTGGGGAATCTCCTAAAATATTGTATTTTCTATTCTATTTAAGCACAAATTGTAATTAGAACATTATTGAAGATTGAAATGCAAATTGTGTTAGCCTAATTGTGGTGTGAAACCCTAGGTTGATACTGTGTTTCTTTTCTTTTCTTTTCTTTATTTTGTTTCTCCCAGTCGCCAACTTTTCTCTTCTTCTTCCCCCACGTAAATAATCCCTCAACCAAACCCAACTCATCCACACACCGCATAAAGTCTAGCCTCCCCTGGCTTCATCTCCTCAATGTGAAGCCCTAGTCACCAACCCCTGTGCCCCAGCGACAACACCCAGCCTCCCCCAGCCCCCTCCACAACACCGCCTTGCCTCCCTAGCCTCCACTGGCTCGTATCCTCAGACCGCACCACCATCGCCTTCACCCTCCGCCAGATCCGATCATCTCAGCCGCCGCCTCCAGCTCCTCCCGGACCCTCTGCCTCTGCCGACGTACACTCGCCCCTATTCCTCCCATCTCCCGTCGACTCCCTCCAACAACCACTACTGCCTTCCTCTCGAAACTCCTCCACAAGACAACCGTCACAAAGCAGCCTCTTCCCTTCCTGCCGGCATACGACCACCCCCTGCCCTTTTCCCGACGACACCCAGCACCATCATCTCCTCCTCCAACAACGCCCCAGCACACACCTCACTGCGCAGCCACTCAATCACCAACCCACAGCCCGCCTCCATCCCTTTGATCCCTCCACCCTCAGGCACCCCAACAACCCATTCCCCCTGTCTCGTACCCGCAGCAGCGCCTAACAACCCACTGCTCTCCTCCACCCCTTCCCGAGCAGCCGCACAACCACTTCCGACACCGCCGCGTCGTCGTCGTTATATTTGTCGTCACCTCGCCTTCGTCCCGTTGCTCGTGTTGACAACCAGTCATTTCTGCCACTTTCGTCGTCATTTAGTTTGTTGACATCGTCGCTCAGTTTGTCGCCATCCAGTTCGACGTCGTCGCCCGCATTCGTCGCCGATTCGAGTTCTGACTTCACGGTCCTTTGGTGTATGGCCGATCCTGAAGCCGAAGACGTCCAGTTCGTGTACGATTCAGAGACCGGCATGGTTGATTTACAGCTTTCTCAGTGGTTCGATTATTAGCCGTTCGAGATCGTAGCCGGATACGTTGAGCGCGTGACTCATCAGATTGCCGAGAGCGTGGAGAGTCGTTTGGGTATTAGTTCGTGGCACAGACGCTTCTACCCGAACACGCCACTTCACCCTAGTTACGTGGCTCTCGGAGGCGAGCTTCATCTTCTCAGATTCGGCGTCGTTGCTCCGCCTCCAGAGATCCCTCACGTCGAACCAATTCAGCACGACGAAGGTTTAGTTTTCTTTCGACCTAGTATTTTCGAAACCGCTATTGCGTGCATGTTACTATAAATATTAATATCAATTGCGACTGTGTTGTATTCTGTTTGATTTAGTGAGCGAGTGATTCCGTTGCCAAGTATATCTGCAAATCTATATATTACGAGTCGAACTTTATTAAGAGAACAAATCATTACATTTATTATCTGAATAATTTACAAAGGTTCAAACTTAGTACATTTGCAACTTTTGATTAAAAATCATCGGGAGCTTCATTTTATTCTCGAGCTTCCTGTCTAGATCGATCGCTGGTTTGGTGAAGCATTGCTGTCGCTGTTCGCCATACATGCATACACATTGTTTTCGCGTCAATATTACTTTGATTTGAATTTTTTGATTATTAGTCTTCATCCAGCATTAAGTGCTCTTTTCCTTACTTGTTTTTAATGGCAACCAACCTTCTGGTAATGCAGGAGTTCTACAATGCTACTGTGCCATTATCTTCTCAAGCAACCTTCCCCTATATTTTTGCTGTCAGCAAATATCTGCAGGTACTATTTATTTGAAATCACTCATTTTTGCATTAATAATCAGTCAGCAGGTGTTCTGTTTTGTTGTATTGGCAAAAGTTTCATTTTAGTGCAAATTGCAACAGTAAAGACTCATTTGTAAATTTTAGCAGTCTAATTTTATATCTTTGAACTGCAGCCTGGCTTATTTGATTTAGTTGGTACCATAATTTATGAGATTGACCAGCACCCATATCAAAGTGTCTTCTATAATGGCACCATTGAAGTTGTTGAGGCAGGAGGTTTTCTCAGTGTTGAATCCATTTTCCTTGTGACCATTGGTGTTGCCCTTCTTGGCTTTCTTGGACTCTGGGCCTATGGTCAGATACAGAACTTGTCGAAGGTAAATACTCTCAGTATTCCTCCAAAATGATTCAGTATATATGCAGAATGAATTACAAAGTTTATCTCTCTTAAGGGCGGGGGGAGGGGGGTTGGATGGGATTCAAGAACCTCTGATGTAACTATTTTGTTAGCTGTTGAATGAATATTAAAAGTTCATGTTTACCTTGAAAGTCAATTGCACAGTTTTTCCCCCAACAAACTACCCATACTCGAGTTTGCCAGAACAAATTAAATGTTAGAATCTCATCACATATAAAGTGGCTGTGCTCTTTCTTTTTTAACCAATTACAATATCATCTAGGACCCTAATTCTGAAAGCTTATAAGTATGTCTATTTATCTACATAACACTGATGGATTATGCTTGGTAAAAGATGCAACTGCTCTTTCTAGACGTAAAAAAGGTAATAATTTAAACACTTAACTGCATCTTTAGAATGCTTAGTGCAACAATTCTAGAAGTAAAAAAATAAAATAAAAACTTAAACGTGTATTGGGGCTTATAAATCCTTGGTGCAGCATTTCTATTGTTTTAAAATAAATGCAACTATTCTTATGTCTGCATGTTGTTCTCTACCCAGAAAACAAAAAGAGCCCCAAAGGTAGAAGTAGGCACCAAGACCACAGAAGCTAATATGGATGAGTGGCTGCAGGTATGGTTAAATATTTCTTGTCTGTTCATTTTCTTCTGAAAATGATTGGAAGAGCCTGGTAATTTAATGATCTACCCATAAAAAAAAGGGAGCGCTATTTTGATTTTCTTTTAACCTTTGTTTTTGTTTTTATTATCTAGGGAACTGCATATGCGCAGTCTCTTTCAAGCAAGTCGAAGAAGAAAAAGTGAATTTACATGTCCTTACGGATTAATAGGGCACTGATTTGTTGTAGTTTGTAAACTACAGTAGTTTTCATAGAGGAAGAAGAATTTTCAGTTGCTTGCAAGACGTAGAGTTAAGTTTAGGTGAGGAGAATATTAATATGAGGTGATACTTGATAGTTCTGTTTCCTGTAATACTTAATCTGGGTACTGGATTTATTGACAGAAAAAAGGAATGGTAACCCAAGCTGTAGAATTTTGGCCAAATTGTCAAATTGAGCTGCCTTCATTTTCATATCTGGGTACTGGATTTAGTTAGCAATTGCAAACATTTTTTACTAGCTTTTTAACTGTTCTATTATGAGCAAGGTCTGCAATTTTGAAAGCAAAAAACCTAGTGAGTATATAAATTATTTGACATGGGATAAGAATATTGTTCTTAAGAAATACAGAGTATGCTTTCCCACCGGAAAATCAGCAGTAGAGATGGAATGGATTATTTTTAATTATCTTGGTGAATTTTCCAATGCTTAAGCACGTTATGTTACCCTCTGTTTACAGCTGAAGAACTAGTAAAATCCATCTGCATGTTGTGTATGATTTCTGTGCTTGGAATAAATTGACCGAATTAACTTTTAGAGTCAAATTAATCTAAGTTATTATTATCATTGACGTGTGTGAGGTATATTCATTAATAATGCTTTGGTGCATATTTAATGTCATGAACTGGATTCACTGAATATTTTTTATGAGCGGACAAGGCCAAGTTGTTGGTAGTTCTATGATTTGACGTGCGCCAATGTTGAGAAAAAAAAGATTATAGCACATATTGTTAGACAACAAACAAAGAATATTTCAAGATTAAGCCTCCAGCTCTACATGAAAAACAAGGTGAATGTATGACTATTCAATATGTGATAAACCTATAATTAATGAGTTAGTTTCTTGGGTCTGCGCGGTCTCAGTCAAATATTAATGTCTCAATGGGTACAATCTCTGTTCATATTAACAGACTGAGAAAAGATTATCTGGACAGAATAAATGTAGAAAAATTCGCTGAACCTTGCATTCCTTTAGGTCTTCACATTTGTAGTCTCCCGTTATGTATTTACTTTTGCGAGTATAGATTTCTGTCTTAGTCCAATGCATTTAGGTTACAGTTCTTTACCTGTTCCTCAAGAGTCCGGCTGCTAGAACAAGGAGAAGTTTTGTCTATTTACATCCATGATCAAGTTTACAAAGAATCGTGAATATCTTTGGGAACAATATTTGATCATAGTATAAAATCATTTGAGGAGAATGTTTGAGATGTTTTCATATTGTATTGTGTCGTTGTCCCCTCTTATCATATCATTGATCCTTGTGAACTTGATTAAATCAGGCACCATCAAAATAATTAAGATAGGAAAAATATTTATGTCTGTGCAGATATCATACGGTCAGTGCTGAAATGGGCTGATATTTTGTTTGATGCTTAGATCTTAGATTTTACAAGTGAAATAGGGTGAAGTAAGTTCATTCGTATTAATCTAGCAAATACAGAAGTTGGTTGCTCATATTCTGGTCATAGATAACTCTTTATTAACTGAATGCAAATATACAACAGATACAATCACAGCAAACTCACTCCTCCAGTAGTTCTAAAACTGTCAAGCAGATAGATACCTTGAGAACAATCTTTTACTAGAACACTGTAATATTTGAAGAAAAACTCAAGAAAAACTCCTGTCACGCATTGTGATGCAATTGAAATATCAATAATACTTCAGCAAAGATAATGGGCAAGATATGAGAACGGATGAAATGAACCAAGAGAGAACTTATAATTGAAAGAAATAGATATAGGAATTAAGCATGAGGAGGCTTCTTATAGATTGGTGGGAACTTGAAAACAGGAGGCAAAGGCTTATGGTAAATTGGTGGGAATTGAGGCAATGGCTTTTTGTAAATAGGAGGAAAGTGAGGCAATGGTTTTTCGTAAATTGGGGGAAAGTGAGGCAATGGTTTTTTGTAAATAGGAGGAAAGTGAGGCAATGGCTTTTTGTAAATTGGGGGGAAGTGAGGCAATGGTTTTTTGTGAATAGGAGGAAAGTGAGGCAATGGCTTTTTGTAAATAGGAGGGAAGTGAGGCACTGGCTTTTTGTAAATAGGAGGTAAGGGAGGCAATGGCTTTTTGTAAATAGGAGGAAACTTAGGGAGAGGAGGACAAGGCTTTTTGTAGATGGGAGGTGGAAGTGGCTTCACGATCGGAACCGGTGGTGGGAGTGGTTTTACGATCGGAACCGGTGGCGGGAGTGGTTTTACGATCGGAACCGGTGGTGGGAGTGGTTTTACGATCGGAACCGGTGGCGGGAGTGGTTTCACGATCGGAACTGGAGGAGGAAGTGGTTTTACGACCGGTGGTGGGCATGGCTTCTTGATAGGAATTGGTGTGGCGGACGTGGACTTCACGTTATTGTGGTAACTGGTGGTGCTCGCGGAGGGAACGTGGTTCACGATGGGTGTGGCTTGCGTTTTTTTGCGGAATGGTGGTTGGTAGTATAGGTATTTTACACATAGGAACCGGTGGGAGAACGTGGTCTTTTCGCATCCGACACTGTGGTGAGCGAGGTAGTGGTTTTCGGACTCGGAACTTGTGGATCCGAAGGGAGTGGTTCATGTCGGCGTGCGGCAGGCGTCTCTCTTCGATGGGGAACTGGGGGCTTGTAAATAGGAATTGAGGGGGGAAGTGGTTTCTTGTGAATTGGAGGGAAATGGTATGGCATAGGAGGAAATTTAAATGGAGGTAAAGGGAACTTAGGCAACGGTTTGTGAAAAAGAGGGAACTTGTGGGGTGGCCAAAAGAAGGCAGATTGACAGGTTGCTGATGAGAATGGAAGCTTGGCATCAGTGGAGAAAGTATGAACACCGTCTTCCTTCGATTTTAAAATGAGTTTGTAAGGATTGAGTCCATTTTTATCAGGGCAAGGAGCATTAGAAACACTGTGCAGCTGTGCAAAGCATTCTTGCTTTAGATCTCCGTTTTCTCCGATGAGTTCGGTGGGGAGTTGGACTTTGTAGTCGCCGTTTTTGTCGAGTTTACCGGAGGTTTTGATCTTGTAGTCTCCGTTGTGGGTCTTGCACTTGATTGCTACTTGAAGCCCTGAGCAAAAAAATGCGTAAAAATGATTAGTATTGTAAACTTAGTCCTCTATAGTTACGGAAAAGGCATGTGTTAATGTTAGTATACTCAGGTGTATATTAGTTTAAACTAGTTTCAGCTCATAACTGACTCAACAGTACAATTTTTAAACGAACGCAAATCAAGACGGGAAAAAACCAACCGAAACTAGTCACAATAATTGTCTTCTACTGAAATCACTATCTCTTTAGGCGGGAAAAAAAAAGAAACTGAAAATGACATTAAAATTTTAACCAAGTCTTCCTCTAGTTACAAGCTTTTAAGCTAGTGTTTTTTTTTTTTCATCAATACTGAACAATAGTCAGAAAAGAGAGTATCAATACCTCGATATGCAAGTTCATTCTTCACATTCTTCTCTGCACAATCGATACATTCGCTTTTACCGGAAGCAAAAACAGATCTCTCAACCTTCAATTCTGCATTCGAGCAAACGAGGCTCGTCGCCAGTATCACTGCCAACAAGCCAAAGAGCAGTCGAGTCCCCATCTTGGACTCAACCAAGAAGGAGGAGGAGGAGGAGAAGTTGATGATGAGGATAAAACTCTATAACGAGATCACTTATATACAAAAACAAAGCCGACAGTGCTTTAAAGCCTCTCACATGTGGTTTAAGGGAGAGAGCCCCATTTGCCACCAGCTTTTGCGGTTATCTCATTATGTTCAATGCCTCTCACTATCTCATCCTCACTGTCTTCATTATTTCCTTTTTTGTGAACCTGCTAACTTCCCTATTAACTTCAACCCACTTCTTGATTTCTCTAAGGCAGGATTTATTCATCTTAGCAAAGCTCGTGACATTAATATGTGAAACTCTATCCACCCATTTTCATCTTCAAGGGTCTTCAATGCCTCAGTAGAGAAAATAGGATTGTACTTGCTATATATAGATTGATGTCAATAAATAAATACTTGATCTGCAGTACATGGAATATTCACTGAGCACTGGGGCCCTATTGGATTGCTTGATCAGTGTAGCGTGTTGTAGCGTCTACTGAAGGCCTCCTATAATTGGCTTCAGAAGTTGCTTTATCAGAACAGTGCAATTTAACCACAAACTTACCAAATGCAATTATAAATAACCACAAACTTACCAAAAGGCCCTAGAATAAAAAGTTACAATTCTCCCATTGTAAAATAGGAGATTACAGACAACGCCCTAACAATCCCAGAACTATGGAAAAACCTTAAAAATTTTAAGAATTGTAAAGACACCTTAAAAATACAGAACATACAAATAACACTAAAGTTTTTAAACCTTATATGAACCCTCTAAAAAAATTTGAATTTATAGTAAACACTTTGAAATTTTGAAAATTACTAAAGCACCCTCAAAAAAATTAAATTTTAAAAAACTAACTAAAAATTTCAAATCTAAAACATTACAACGAAAATTAGGGAAATACAAACAATGCCAAGAGCTTTGTAATCAGGGGTGTTAAGATACGACTTGGATATGACACTTACCATATTCATATCCGCTTACCCATCTCGGATACGGATACGGATATACGTCGGTAAGAAAAATTTATATCCATATCCGACAAAATCGGATACGGTTACGGATATAGATGCGGATATATAAACGGATATGTATCCGAATACAAAAAAGAGTTCGTTAATATGTTCATTATGATTGAAAAGCTAAGATTAGACATATTGATCATTAAAATTAACCACAAATCCATAATCTAAGAATCGAAACTATCGTAAGAGTATGACCAATATGTATTCGGATATTTCGGATACGGATACGGACATTTCACTACAAAACCATATCCGTAACCATATCCTATCGGTTATAGATTTGAGTAACCATATTCGTATCCTAACGGATACGGTTACGGATATTTCCTCGGATACGGATACGGTTTAGCACCCCTATTTGCAACTGTAGAAAACAACCTGAATCTTTAAAACCTACAAAGAAATACCATAAAAATCCTAAATTTACAAAAAAATAAAAATACAAATTTCAAACTTAAAACAATAAATAGAAAATCTAAGAATTACAAATATCACACTAAAAAGTTTAAATTTGCAAAACACACCCACAAACTGTTAAATTTTATGACAAAACACCCTCAAAAATTTAAAACATTGAGAAAAAGCTTGAAATTTTCAAACCTAAAACGGAAACACTTAAAATCTATGAATTACAAAAAACCCCTTAAAATTTTAAATTTTGTTGAAAACATCCAAAACTCTCAAAGTTGCAACAAACAACCTCAAAAATTCAAAATTCATAGCAAACACTGTGAATATTTCAAACCTACAAGTAGTACATTGAAAATCTTAGAATTATAAACAATCCCCTAAAAATTTTAGGATTTTGCATTAAACAATTTAAAACTTTTAAAAAAACACCCTTAAAATTCCAAAATTTATATAAAGAGCTTGAAAACATCAAAGAAAAAGTTGTACGTTGAAAAATCTAAGAATTACAAACAGCCCCTTGTAAATTTTTTATTTGCTAAAAACACCCTAAAATATAGAATTTTTAGAAACTCCCTAAATATTTTTACCCTACATATAGTATATTGAAAATATATGATTACATATAGCCCCTTGAAAATTTTGGAATTTGTAAAAAATAATCTAAATTTTCAAAAGTTGCGAAAACAGCCTAAAAATTTTGATATTTACCAAGAACATCCTAAAAAGATAAAAAATTTATAGAGAGATGATTTTTGTAATTCCAATTTTTGACGATGTTTTTACCAATTTTTGAAAATTTTAGGGTGTTTTCTGTAAAGGTGAAATATTTTAGGGGGTTGCTTGTAATTCCTAGTTTTTAGTATACCAGTTGTAGATTTGAAATTCTCGCGGTATTGTTTTTGTAAATTTTAGATTTAGAAGGCATTTTTTGCAATTTTTTAATATTTTATGGTGTTTTCTACAAATTCCAAAATTTTCAAGGGGTTGATTATAGACCTAGATTTACAATTTACTATATGTAGGGCTTGAAATTTAGAATTTTTAGGTCTTTTTGCAATTTTTGAAAGTTTTAGGCTATTTTTTGCAAATCCCAAAATTTTTAGGGGGCTGTTATAAGATTTGAAACTTAAGCGTTATTTGCATGTTATGAATTTTGAGAGTGTTTTTATAAATTATTTTTGAATATTTTGGTTTGAGAATGGAAGAGATCCATTTAAGGTTAAATGGTATCCTTGTTGAAGGATTATACCAAATATAGGAACGTTTTCCCCTTCTAATTTTTTAGAGTAATATTACCATGTTCGAGTTTAAACTCGATTTCTTTTAACTCATACCAATCGAGCCCTAAATGAACTTTTTTGCATTCTTATTTTAAGAGAATGAGAAATTCGGTTCTTGACAAATAAATCTCCCAAGGGTAAAAGAGACAAAATATTTTTCACTCGGTGGTATAACCACACTGAAAGAACTACAGGGGTCAAGTTAAAATAAAGATAAATTGAAAATATTGAACAAGAAAAATCCTACATTTTAATAATTATAGCCTCCCTAAAAATCATTTAAATACCACATAGTTTCTCCTAGTTTGCACTTATATACTCGCACTTGTTTTTAGCAACACTTATATATTGTAAAGTTTCTAAAACTTGCGTTTTAATACCCTCTATTTAGCAGACATGAATGTTTTCTTCCAAACTTTCATGTGACATTCACAACTAGTTTATAACATTTTAACTCTTAATGTCTGTTTAATATACAACCTACCTTAATTTTATTTTAAACTTAACATAAATATATTTTAAAATAGAAATGTGGTGGGTTTAGCAGTAAATCCAAAACAAATAGAAAACTTTAAAAAATTCTAAAATTAGCTTGTGAACATCACATGCAAAAATCAGGAGGAATATATATTCTGACGTTTGCATAACAGAACCTTCATAACAGAACCTTCTAATTAAGTGCAACTTTTAGAAACTTAAGTCTTAAGTGTTGCCAAAAACAAGCGAGGGTATAAAAGTAAGAACTAGGGGAAACCATAAGGTATTTAAGTGCTAAAGCCTTATAACATCACCATGAATTTGTAACTCTAGCAACTGAAAGCAAATCTAAAATGATGTATCCTCTACTGAGGCCCCTCTGATTTCAGAATTTAACTACACTCAGAGTTCATGTTTACCTTGAAGTCAATTGCACCCCCCCCCCCCCCCCACCCCCCACCCACAAACGAACTCAGTACCTATTATTCGAATTTGACAAAACAAATTAAATGTTAGAATCTGACCAGCCAGTGTATATAAAGTTGATGTGCTCTATCTTTTTTAACCAATTACGGTATCATCTAGGAGACTAATTTCTGAAAGCTTACGAGTATGTCTATTTATCTGCATAATACTACGGTATCATCTAGGAGACTAATTTCACATGGCTTTTATCTATGAATCGTCTACATACTAAAGACAATCTCTTGAAAAAAGGTTGGCAAGGTGATCCTTTGTGCGTTTTCTGTAAATCTAATCCTGAAACTACAGAGCACATTTTCTTTTCGTGCAATTTTGCATCTAATGTATGGAAACATTTCAGTGATTACCATCTGCCTTTTACATGGCCATACTCTCTAGAGGATCTTATGCTATATATTGCATCTCTGGATAAAAAGGAGGGAATTCTTTGGAAATGTATTTTTCCTATAGTATGCTGGTTTATATGGTCTTCAAGGAACAAATTTGTATTTGAAGAAGCTTCTTTCTCTGTTAGATATATCATTAATTCTACCATCTCTTATTTATATGAATGGTCAGGAGCAGGAAGAAGGAAGGATGATCTGTGTTTGGCTAAAGCCTTACAAGAAAGACCTGTTCCACGGCAAGGAGATTAACATCTACATTTCTGTAGAAGAAGGATGGCGCTGAAGCTTAGAGTAGTGTTATATCAGCTTCTTTCCTAGAGACATATCATTATCTTTTTGTAGCTTCTGATGTAGCTGTGTATATATCAGCTTTTGTTTTTATTTTGTTAAATTAGTTTATAGAAAACTTAATTTCTCTTGATCAAATGTATGGCTGGCTTTGGTTCTTACCTATATCCATGTCAACGGTGAATGACGGCAAGGCCCTCTCTTCATCTTCATGGATGTTTGTAAGAAGAAGGTCCTACATCCCTAACAAGAGAAATTATTTTTCTATCTACTAATCTCTATGGATACAATTCGTATCTTGCTTTTGTAAACATACTTTTGGTTTTAATGAACAGGGTATAACCCTTGTTTTTTAGTCAAAAAAAAAAAACCCTAAGAGATTAAAACCTAAACAAATCTAAAGAGGAAAATTTAGACAAATCAAAAGAGGAAAAATTTAGAAATCCAGTCCAAAACAAATCTAAAATGAGAAAACTAAAATAAATCAATTGGGACAAAAGGTTTAATTTTAGAAATCTCATTGAGAATGCGGGATGAGATGATCTATGGAGCTAGATGTAGCCGGCTCACAAATAGGGCATGTGTTAAAATATGAAATTATGATCTTTAAGTCTTATCCTAACTTTGGAGTTTTGACATGATGGTTAGAGGGATTTTCACTTGGTATCAAAGTCAAACCCAGTTCAAATCTTGTTAGCCACAAATTTAATGCGGACTTTAAAATTGTTACCGCCTCCGCCCCGGCATCACTCTCTCCCTCATCATCTCCCTCTGCGATCGCGGAGTCAATCCCGAAGCCCTAGCCGCCCTCGTCCGCGAGCTCTCTTGGTCATCTTCAACTGCAATCTTGGTCATCAAAGGGTAAGCTAGAATCTTCTTTTCCCCTCCTTTTGATTTCTAGTTTAATTTTCATGAAATAAGACTTATCAATAGTCAAGGAGACCAATCGTGCTACGGTTCAAAGACCCCAAAACTTGATCGAACAATTGAAATCACTACATTGTGGAACAATTGAAATCTCTAGTGGTTGGTTGCCAAACACCAAGATTAGCGCATACTTTATATATTTTATTACAGTATGTGCTTTGGTTTTTTCCTTTACATCTTACTTGGACAATATAAGAAGAGCAGTGCATTTGTTGGTATTAATCTTTCTAATGCATACTATTTTTATTTTATTTTTATGTTAGTGTTATATAGTTTTCTTTTCATGAAGTTCAGTTGATTTGTTTAAATTGTTCTTATTTTTTCTAAACTAGAGTCTATTCTAATCAAGTTTAGCATAATTTGCACAAAATTATGATAGATTCTTGAAGATATAATGCTATTCTTGAATTAAAATTGTGCCTTTGTCTATTATCTATATAGAAATGTAGTAAAAATAAAGTTTGCAATAGTGGGTATTTGAATTGCCTTCCATTAAACAAGGAGATTGCATAAATAGATCGGCTATTGCTCAGCTATGAATTCAATACTATGTTTTCTATATATAAATTTATTTCGGAGCTTTGTAAAAAAAAACCACACCTGGAGCTATAGTAAAAGCCAAGATGCAGTTGTATCTATCATAATTTTGTGCTGATGATGTGAGGTCATCTTGCGTACGAGCGAGATGTGAGGTCATAAATTAGTGTACATCATAAACTTGCTTTTCTAATGCTGTTGGCTAAATATTGATTGTTCTAATTATGTCTCTCTGTGTCTCTGGATTTATGCGGCAATTCCAACATGCTAGGACTTATGACAGAACAAAACGCTTATGACTGACTTTAGAGCTTAAAGGGAACTATGTGCAATATACTTCTTAGTGCGTAAATTTTATGAATGCTGGACTTGTAGTTACAAAATAGCGCCTATAAATGCATATACTATTCTTTGGTTTCTATATGTAGTTCTCATGGGAGCCCAAGATTTGTATGCATAATAAGGTGCATACCTCCATTTCTTTCTGCCGAGGTAAAATCCTATTCTATTGACCTGCGAACCTCCACAAGTAGGTCGGTTGAAACTTAAATTTGGCATAGCTGTAATTGGAAATGAATTCAGGGTAGGTGCTCTGCTTGAAGTTTACTAGTTATCTATATAATGGATTAAAGGTCCTGCGTTTATTCGGAAGAAGTCAATGGTGCAGTAGACTGGCTAGTGTCATGGGAAGTTTAAGGATAACTAGTATGAACCTGCATCATCATTTGATCTCGTGCTCCTTGGACTAGTGTCATGGGAAGTTTAAGGATAACTAGTATGAACCTGCATCATCATTTGATCTCGTGCTCCTTGGACGAGGAGGGTAGAGTTTATGAGAATGACTAGTATGAACCTGCATCATCATTTGATCTCGTGCTCCTTGGACGAGGAGGGTAGAGTTTATGAGAATGATGTAATTTGTCATTATCAACTCACATGTAACTGCTAAAAGGTTTGCATTTTTTCCCTGGAACTTTATCCAGGAATAAAAGTTCCTTCGTGATGTATAATAATGTCTAGTGAAAGGCAGCATTCAACAATGAGCTTTACCCCGGGGCTAACTCATCTGAGAAAGGCTTGAAGACATCACTTTGCAGAGTAGCAGATTGTGATCAAATTATGTGCTTGATATTATTGCCTTTGTATTCTTCCTCCTTACCTCAAATTGCACATAAAAGTTATATCCTGCTGATCTTTTATGTGTTGTTTTCCCATTACTGTACTATTATATTATTATTATATGATGATATGACGACGTCATTGTATTATGCCCACTCTTCTCTCTACTTTATAGGGCCATCCGGGTTTTACCTAAGTAGTAGATTAGTTCAAGCTCGAGCATCAGGAAGTACCCTCTTGTTTTATTGAGGGGCTGTGGTTTCAAGCATCTTCAGATTATAACATCACACTCGTTGTCTTACCCTACAATCATGGACAATCATTTTGGTTACATGTTATATTCTTGATGTGTTTAAGGCGTCGGACATCTTTTATCTTGACCTTGCAGATCCAGAAGAAATGAGAAGCCAAGGAGGGTTGGCTGACATGTTCCCTAGAGCTGCTACAGGAGCTAATAGGAGAATTTAGTTAACAAATATTTTGGAAGTGTAGTTTTGAATCCTGGAAAAGAGTTATATCTTCAATTTCGGTTGCTTTCTTGTTTGGATTTTAATGAGCTAGACAGAGGAATCCTGCATGATCTAGTTTTCGTATTTACGCTCACAGTTTGGATATTTTCTCGCATTTTAGTTTCATCTGTGTTTCATACATGTTCAGAATTTGAACGCAACAGTGTCTTTTAATGTTTGACCAAATTTTTTGCACTTTGATACTTTCTGATGCTTCTTCAGCATGTCACGATGTTGCTCTAGCCTTCAGGTAATAGAAGCTGATGTTGCTTTAGTTGTTGATTTCGGGACGTGTGCTTGACAAAATTAACAAATTCTATGGATGATTGATGCAGGGGAAATATTGAGGTCTCTATGGTGATTTCGGATTCTAACCCTTGCTATGAAGACGCACATATGAAGCTTGCTGCAGTACTTTTAATGTTGCTATTGAGTCCAACTGAGTGTTATGTTTGTTTCCTGATCTTTTCTTTCTTCTGTCATGATCCTGTTCATGCTTGAACATTTGAAAGATGGTAAATTAGTGGACTATGGTTGTGCTACTATTTTGTTTATAGACGAACTTACTACTCTTCTAGTTTATCAAGTAATTAAGTAGATTGTCCTTACTAATCGTGATCGTGTTGCTGATAGTTATGATGACATTTATATCAAGTTATTGATCTTATACAGATCCTTGCATACCTTGTGTTTTCTATCTTAATTCATTTAAATATTCTCGCAATATTGTTGTTATTGATCTTTTGGTTTTTGGTTTGGAAATTTGAAGTTAATTTTGCAAATGTGTGAGGTTTGTACTTTTATCCAGGCTTGTAAATGGTTCAATCATAAACTTATCTGCATTTGTTTATCTTTGTTTATGTTCCTATCTTTGTTAGTATTTTATCAAAAGGCCCAACAAGTTTGCACAAATCTCCCCAAAAGTTTGCAAAAAGCCCACAATAGTTTATTAAAAAACCCTTAAAAGTTTACAAAAAACACTCCAAAAGTATTATACTTATATAGTTACTATAGTTAAATGGGCAAATGGGCGACCCGTTTATTAAATGGGCGGGCGAAAACCCGCCTATTTAAATAATGTTAAATGGGCCATAAATGGGTAAATGGGCAAAACATGCCTGTCCATTTATGGCCCGCCCATTTAAAACCCATACCCACCTATTTAACATCTCTAACCTAGATTTAAGTTTAGGTGAGGAAAATATTAATACGAGGAGATGCTTGATATTTCTTTTTCGTGCAATAATTAATCTGGGTACTGGATTTGTTGACAAAGAATATGGATGGTAACCCGAGCTGTAGAATTTTGTCCGAATTGTCAAATTGTGCTGCATTCATTTTCGCATCTGGGTACTGGATTTAGTTGGTCTACTTTTAGCAAGGTCTGCAATTTTGAAAGCAAAAAACCTTTAGTGAGTGAGTATATAAATTATTTTACACGCGATAAGTACAACTGTGTAGAGAATCGTTGTCGCTGTTTGACTCAGAAGCTTGCTTCTATTCAGTTCATGTTCTTCTCTCACAGTGCACCACCAAGACACAAAAGGGGAATCACTCTCAGAGGTTGAAGGGGTCGCACAAAGGGTGAGAGCACAAAGCTCACAGGGGCACAAAGCTCACAGAGGGGAGGGGGATCGCACAAATCAGAGGAGAGCACAAAGCTCAATTTGCTTCTCACCGCCGTCGCTCCTCATCCTCCCTCTCAGAGCTACTACCATCTCTTCGACTTAAATAGCGAAGGGGACAACCGACACGGAGAGAAGGCTAAGGTTACGAATGGTAGGAGCCGACCTACAGGGATCAGAGATGGGACTCGCAGCGGCAACCAGCCGGACACATGTATGGGAAAGGGGGTGAGTACCATCGAGTAGGAGGTGAAAAGTTTAGGGATAGGTTGAAATAAATATCAAGGGGAACTGGGCCTGGTAGCAAATGGGCCAGCAACCAAAGATGTTGGGCCAACTAAAAATAGCAACAACCTCCACCTTTGGCCCAAGGTAGTGCACAGAGAAAAACACGGAACTGCAGGACTCATCATCGCCAAACCATTATCTGTATGATCACAAAGAAGATACAAGCAATGGGAGAGAATACACAAAGTAAACTCAGATCATAAATATCGGGGTAAGATCACCAAGCATACCAAGTCCATAAAGGACCGAACTCTACCAAACGGTCATCGAGTTCAAAGGGAAAAATCACAAAGCTACTAACAAGCACAAAACAAGTTAATAGGCCACAAAGGCAACACACAAAGCAAAGGAAAATTACCCAAAGTCAAAATTCAAGATTCTTTGACACGAGATAAATTTTTCAGCAGACAAACACTTAGTACCTATGTCAGCAGGATTAAATTCTGGGGGAATTTTCTCTAACTTGACAATACCCTTTTCAACTATATCCCGAATGTAATAAAATCTAACATCAATATGTTTAGTTCTATCATGAAAAACATAATTTTTGCAAAGTTGAATAGCAGATTGACTATCAGAAAATACAACCATATTTTTATCAAGAAAACCAATTTCAGATATAAGGCCCCTAAGCCAAATAGCTTCTTTAAAAGCTTCAGTGGTAGCAATATACTCAGATTCAGTAGTAGATAAAGCAACAATGGGTTGTAGTTGAGATTTCCAACTTATGCAAGAGCCACACAAAGTAAACACATAGAAAGTAATAGATTTTCTATTATCTCTATCATTTGCATAATTGGAATCTACATAGCCAACTAGTTTGACACCTTCAGAACACTTAGAGAAGGTTAATCCTACATCCACAGAGGATTTCAAATATCTTAAAAGCCACTTCAAGGCATTCCAATGAGACATACCAGGGTTTGACATGTATCTACTCAAGCAACTAACCGCATATGCAATGTCAGGCCTAGTACTAACCATGAGATACATGATCGATCCTATAGCATTCGAATATGGCACCTTCTTCATATTATTTATTTTAGTTTCAGTCTTGGGGGACTGATCCTTACTTAACACAAAATGGAAAGCAAGTGGCACATTCACAGATTTGGCATCAGATATAGAGAATTTACTTTAAAAAATTTCAACATATGAACTTTGGTTTAAAATTAGAGTAGATTTGTTTTTGTCCCTAATAATATTCATGCCTATTTCAACATATGAACTTTGGTTTAAAATTAGAGTAGATTTGTTTTTGTCCCTAATAATATTCATGCCTAGGATTCTTTTAGCATCACCTAAGTCTTTTCCCTAATAATATTCATGCCTAGGATTCTTTTAGCATCACCTAAGTCTTTCATGTTAAAATTTTCACAAAAACATTTTTGAACATGCTCAATAGACTTCAAACAATGACTAACAATCAACACGTCATCTACATAAATTATAAAAAATACAGGCACAGAGTCTATATTCTTATAATACAGGCAATGATCAGCAGAACTCCTTTTAAACTTTAAAGATTGCATGTATTTATCAAATTTAATATTCCATTGCCTAGGTGATTGTTTTAAACCATACGAAGACTTTTTTTTAACAAACACATATGATCAGGCAATTTAGGGTCCATGTAGGCAATAAAAATTGCCTTTAATCCTTATCAGAGAAGTTCAGAACAAAACTGCTAAAACCCCGTCCGAAATAGCAGAAAGAGGGGAAAACGCAGATATCTCCCAAACCGTAAGGAATTTGGCGAAACGGAGGAAGCGAACCGAAGCCTTCGGTTTGGTTCGGATGGCTCCATCTCGTCAAGATATGCGATTTTCATATATAATTCGTCCAATTCCGACTTACGGTTTGAAAGTTACGGCCTATTCTTCGATCCATGCTATAGAGCTCGCCTAACGGCTTGAAGATCGCCTGCAGACCCAGGTTCGTTTGCAGTCCCCAGCTTCGCCTGCAGTTGCAAATCCGCTTGCAGTCCCCAGCTTCGCCTGCAGTTGCAAATCCGCCTACAGACCCAAGTCTGCCTGCAGTCGCAAATCCGCCTGCAGACCCAAGTCTGCCTGCAGTCCCAAATCTGCCTGCAGACCCCAAGTCTGCCTGCTCGCCTGCGATCCCAGCTCGCCTGCAGTTAAAGCTCGTCTACAGCTCGAAATTCGCCTGCACGATCAAGTCTGCCCGCAGACCCAAGTCTGCCTGCAGTCCCAAGCTCGCGAGGACAAAACTTCCTTATTTTCCGTGATGTGAGGGTAGGGGGGGACGATACTCCAGGCCCGTCAGATGGCCGTCCACAGTACGAATGAGCGGACAGGCACCGAAACAGCCTGCACTCTCATAAATGCAGCTTACCTCACTTGTCCAAGCAGAAGGGAGGGCCGCCGGCGCTCAGTGAGTTGGCCATATCCACTGCAGGACGTCTCCGAACAACGTGTGGTCACATCCCATAATTCAAGGAGCAGTCAAGCTATCTCCCTCACCTCTATTAGTGGTCAAATCCCATGAATCAAGGGAGAGCCCATGCCATCCCTTGCCTGTTAAAACCCATCTTCAGCAGCATGAAGAAGGGGGATTGGCCGTTGCATATTCTGCTGGCTAATCTCCCAAAGGTTGAACCTGGACCTTTGCCAAAGGCTCCCTCATTTGAGAACCGAAGCTCCGGCTCCGGCATCAACTTCGATCGGATCGTCCAAGGGAAGCAGACTCGGCACGAGCACCGAGCGAGGCATCCTATCGCCACCTAAAGTCCCCACACAAAACAAAGAGGGCCTTCCCTCTGCTTCTGTTGTAAACATTTGATTTGTTAGTTTGTAATAAGCTTTCTTATAAATACAAACGAAACTCCCTTTTTCGGGAAATCAAATATTCACCCTACAGAAGATGGCGACCACAGTGGGAGAATCCGTTCATTCAGATGAATTGGTGGTGGCGCAGTCTGACGAAGTTGCTGCAGGGACTACTGTTGAGTCCCTTGTGATCAAATTCGAAGGGTACTTACAATCGTCCTCTTCTCGCAGCAATACATCTCGCGATGGCTGCAAAGTCGTGCGGGTGGCCCCGCCCCAAGAGGCTGAGGCAACCAAGCCTGAGGGATCTACCCAAGCCGAGGCAGGGGGTTCTTTCCCCCCCAAACAAGTTGAGGTCGAGCCGAGATTCGAGAATGCAGGTCTAGGGGCTGCTGAATGGGTCGATGAACGATCCTCGCAGACCCCTGTGCAAGAGGAATCAACCATTCGTGTCGACGCAGGCTACGCCTCCGCCGTCGACATGAACGCTCCTCGTTCAAAAAGATCCAAACAGCGGCGACGAAAAGCTCTCGCTCGTCTCGAGCCATAATCCCTCATCCCCCACGACAGCCTGAATTATTATTCAGGCTTGAGAGGAATCAACCTTTTTAGCCAGGTTCCCAGTTTTGACGAACCGCTCAAATCGGGCGAGACTAGCAGTTTAGACGATCCCCACTCTGTGAGCAAGGTGTTCAATTTTGGCGAACCAAGGGCACCTGGCAAACTCTGCAGTTCAAGAGGGCTTCGTCAAACAAGCGGACTTCACCAAGTTCGCCTGACGGCTCAAGTTCGCCAGAAAGGCGAAGCAACAGCTCGCCAGGCAGGCGCAGGCACACTGCACCAATCTCGCCTGACAGGCGAACCTCCAACCATCGACTCCCTGAAGGAGATGTTGGAGCAGCTCCTGAGCGAGAAGAAGAGGAAGAGAGAGAGGACTTCGCGGGCTTCGCATAAATCCTTGAAGCACAAAGAGCGGGTGCCTACTCCTTCTCACTCCTCATCCGAGTCATCTAGAGGAGCGTCATCTTCGGGCCATAACCCAAGAGACAAGAGGTTTGACGATCTCCAAAGTCAACTCGACGCCTTGAAGCTCCAGAAGCATGCGAACAAGCTGGGGGTTGTCAGACCGTATCCAATTGAATGGGATGCGGTCTCCTACCCGGCAAAGTTCGAGCCGCTGGACCTCCTGCAGTTCAATGGAAAGGGTTCTCCTACCCAGCACATCTACTACTTCCAGGCGCAAACTGGACACATAGTGGGAAACGATCCCATTATGACTCGACTGTTCATTGGTACCCTCAAGGGGGTCGCTTTTGAATGGTTTCGCAGATTGGAGCCTGGGTCCATCACCTGCTGGAAGGACATGGAAAGGCTCTTCGTGGCCAGATTCTTCGATGATGACACAGAAGTATCTATGGCCACCCTGCTAACTGTGAAGCAGAGGAAGACAGAGTCTGTAAGCAGCTTTGTCAAGAGATTCAGAAACCGATCGTTGCATTCCCGCGATCGAGTTTCCGAGGCCACACTCATCGAGATGTGCCGGAACAATCTCTCCATCAGCGTTCTGTCCAATATGGGCGCTATTGAAGCTCGCTCATGGAAAGACTTACTCCGCCAAGGGGAACAAGTCGAGAGCATGCTCAAGCATATGGGTGACGAAGACCCGCATGAGTTCGAGGAAATGATGACCAAGATGCCTTGGTAGTGGAGACCATTTCCTCATATCCTACGATTTCCCCCATTAGTCCTCTTCAATAGAACGGCGGGCCCACAAGACTATCAAGTTAACTATTACCTCTGATAGTCGCCTCCAAATTTCCCCCGTTGATCCTCTTCAATAGGACGGCGGGCCTACAAAACTATCAAGTTAACTATTACCTCTGATAGTCTCCTCCAAATTTCCCCCGTTAGTCCTCTTCAATAGAACGGCGTGCCCACAAAACTATCACGTTAACAATCACCTCTGATAGTTCCCTTACACTCCGACAAGTACACGAGTATAAACTGCTTCTTCTGATCCTCCAACTGGTATAAGAGGTTAAACTATTCCCTTCACTTCCACTTCTTGAGCCAGGTTCCCAGTACGGGCGAACCGCTCAAATCAGGCGAGCCTAACAGTTTAGGCGAGCCCACTTCTTGAGCCAGGTTTCCATTTACGGCGAACCGAGGCGAGCTCATCTCTTTGAGCCAGGTTCCCAGTTTCGGCGAACCGCTCAAATCAGGCGGCCTAACAGTTTAGGCGACCCCCACTTCTTGAGCCAGGTTTCCATTTATGGCGAACCGCTCAAAACAGGCGATACTAGCAGTTCAGGTAGGCTGCATCAAACTCCCACTTGGTCAAACCTTCAGATAGTTAGGACCAAAGTCACAATCCCCCGCCAATCCTCTTCAACAGGATGGAGGGACCCCCACTGTCATGTTAACGGTCACCTCTGACAAATCAACTTACCAGTCCTCTTCAATAGGATGGATGTTAACGGTCACCTCTGACAAAATCAACTTACCAATCCTCTTCAAAAGGATGGTAGGTCCTCAAAGTCGCTCCGATCGCGGCAATCCCTATCATGTTAACGATTACCTCTGATAGCCGACACCATCATTCCCGCAAATGATGTTGTCCAATCAATCGTCACACTCATACGTCCCTGAACGATTTGATTCTCCCAGCACCGTCTTTCTCATAAAAGGCGTTGTTGTTTGATAGTGGCCTACTATGCGATGTGCTGCTATTTCAGGGTTCGTCTTTGCCCCAAGAGAAGACAAATCAGGGTTCGTCTTCATCTTTGCCCTAAGATAAACTGTCCCCTTACACTCCAACTGGTGCATGAGTCTAAACTGCTCCTACCCTCCGACCGGTGCACGAGGCTAAACTGCTCCTTCACTCCAACTGGTGCATGAGTCTAAACTGCTCCTACCCTCCGACTGGTATACGAGGTTAAACTGCTCCCTTAATCCAAACGCCTCGAAAGGCTAAGGATAGAGGAGAAATTTTAGCATTAAGCCTAAGAGAAACTCCTCGACAACTTACCATGCTAAGGGCAAGAGCATGGCTAGTCCAACTCAAACGGCAGTTGGTAAAGACAAATCAAGTCCGTTGATAGCTGAGGGTTTGCTCAAAATCCTAGAAGGCGATCATCAGCTGCGAGCGAAGAGGTCAGCTTCACCGAGCTTGTTGGAGGGCTCCTCACTCCATCTGAGCGGGGATCACTTTACGGGTCTGCATATCCAAAGTGTTCCAGACCCCATGCGGCCCGATTCAGGTCTGAAAACTTTGGAGGGGGTTTTGTAGGCAATAAAAATTGCCTTTAATCCTTATCAGAGAAGTTCAGAACAAAACTGCTAAAACCCCGCCCGAAATAGCAGAAAGAGGGGAAAACACAGATATCTCCCAAACCGTAAGGAATTTGGCGAAACGGAGAAAGCGAACCGAAGCCTTCTGTTTGGTTCGGATGGCTCCATCTCGTCGAGATAGGCGATTTTCATATATAATTCGTCCAATTCTGACTTACGGTTTGAAAGTTACGGCCTATTCTTCGATCCATGCTATAGAGCTCGCCTAACGGCTTGAAGATCGCCTGCAGACCCAGGTTCGTTTGCAGTCCCCAGCTTCGCCTGCAGTTGCAAATCCGCTTGCAGTCCCCAGCTTCGCCTGCAGTTGTAAATCCGCCTACAGACCCAAGTCTTCCTGCAGTCGCAAATCCGCCTGCAGACCCAAGTCTGCCTGCAGTCCCAAATCTGCCTGCAGACCCCAAGTCTGCCTGCTCGCCTGCGGTCCTAGCTCGCCTGCAGTTGAAGCTCGCCTACAGCTCGAAATTCGCCTGCACGATCAAGTCTGCCCGCAGACCCAAGTCTGCCTGCAGTCCCAAGCTCGCGAGGACAAAACTTCCTTATTTTCCGTGATGTGAGGGTAGGAGGGGCACAATACTCCAGGCCCGTCAGATGGCCGTCCATAGTACGAATGAGCGGACAGGTGTCGAAACAGCCTGCACCCTCATAAATGCCGCTTACCTCACTTGTCCAAGCAGAAGGGAGGGCCGCTGGCGCTCAGTGAGTTGGCCATATCCACTCGAGAAGTGACGTAATGTAAAACATGGCTCCTCGAATGACCGCTCCTGTTGCAGGTGAACAGCAGGATATCTCTGAACGACGTGTGGTCACATCCCATAATTCAAGGAGCAGTCAAGCTGTCTCCCTCACATGGTCAAATCCCATGAATCAAGGGGATGGCCCATGTCATCCATTGCCTATTAAAACCCATCTTCAGCCAGCATGGAGGGGGGATTGGCTGTTGCATACTCTGCTGGCTAATCTCCCAAAGGTTGAACCTGGACCTTTGCCAAAGGCTCCCTCATTAGAGAGCAGAAGCTCCGGCAGCAACTTCGATCGGATCGTCCAAGGGAAGCAGACTCGGCACGAGCACCGAGCGAGGCGTCCTATCGCCACCGAGGAACCCACGTTAAACAAGGAGGGCCTTCCCTCCGCTTCTGTTGTAAACATTTGATTATTAGTTTGTAATAAGCCGTTCTTATCAATACAAACCTACAGAAGATGGCGACCACAGTGGGAGAATCCGTTCATTCAGATGAATTGGTGTTGGCGTAGTTTGACGAAGTTGCTGCAGGGACTACGGTTGAGTCCCTTGTGATCAAATTCGAGGGGTACTTACAATCCATTTGTTTAATTCCCAATTAAAATTAGCAACTAAAGCAAGCATAATTCTAACAGTAGTGAATTTGACAACAGGAGCAAAAATTTCAGCATAATCAATTCCCTCCTTTTGAGTAAATCCCTTAGCTACTAACCTAGTCTTAAACCTAACACTTTTAGATTCTTGTTTCACCTTAAACAGCCACTTACAGTCCACTACATAACAACTAGCAGGTTTAGGAACAAGTTTCCATGTTTGGTTAATTCTTAGGGATTCCATCTCACTCTTCATAGCAGTAATCCATTCTTCAGAATATTTCGATTTTAATGCTTCTCTTTAAGCCTTAGGTTCATTGCACTCAAGGGATTCAAACACATTAAAGGCAAACTCAGACATATTACAATCAATCAAATTGCAATCTCTATATCTTTCAGGTTTCCTAATGGTTCTTTTATTTCTATCCCTAGTGAGTTGATAATCATTCAAATCATGCATGTTATCTATTTCCTGCATATCATGCTCCACCTCATTTGGAATAATCTCATCTTGATTTTCAATAATTATATCATTCAATTTTTCTTCAGGAAATGATTTGGGTTGATTAATAATAGGCTTTTGCTCCACCTCATTTGGAGCATCATTTTCAGGAATAGGAACATGTAAAGGTAAACAAGGAAATTCATTTTCATTAAAGACAACGTCTCTGCTTATCACTACCTTAAACCCCGGTTCACTCTTATTCCAAAGCCTATAACCTTTTACCCCTTCAGCAGCTCGCCTGCAGACCCAAGTCTGCCTGCAGTCCCAAATCTGCCTGCAGACCCCAAGTCTGCCTGCTCGCCTGCGATCCCAGCTCGCCTGCAGTTAAAGCTCGTCTACAGCTCGAAATTCGCCTGCACGATCAAGTCTGCCCGCAGACCCAAGTCTGCCTGCAGTCCCAAGCTCGCGAGGACAAAACTTCCTTATTTTCCGTGATGTGAGGGTAGGAGGGGCACAATACTCCAGGCCCGTCAGATGGCCGTCCATAGTACGAATGAGCGGACAGGTGTCGAAACAGCCTGCACCCTCATAAATGCCGCTTACCTCACTTGTCCAAGCAGAAGGGAGGGCCGCTGGCGCTCAGTGAGTTGGCCATATCCACTCGAGTACCTGACAGCCGCTGTCACGCATACGAGGAGGGGCTTTCCCATTGTGAGTTGGCCATATCCACTCGAGTATCTGACAGCCGCTGTCACGCATACGAGGAGTGGCTTTCTCATTCCTAAGTGACGTGATGTAAAACATGGCTCCTCGAATGACCGCTCCTGTTGCAGGTGAACAGCAGGATATCTCTGAACGACGTGTGGTCACATCTCATAATTCAAGGAGCAGTCAAGCTGTCTCCCTCACGTGGTCAAATCCCATGAATCAAGGGGATGGCCCATGTCATCCATTGCCTATTAAAACCCATCTTCAGCCAGCATGGAGGGGGGGACCAGCAGCAACTTCGATCGGATCGTCCAAGGGAAGCAGACTCGGCACGAGCACCGAGCGAGGCGTCCTATCACCACCGAGGAACCCACGTTAAACAAGGAGGGCATTCCCTCCGCTTCTGTTGTAAACATTTGATTATTAGTTTGTAATAAGCTTTCTTATCAATACAAACGAAGTTCCCTGTTTTCGGGAAATCAAATTTACACCATACAGTCCACAAAGCCCCTAGGTTGGTGCATATAAATATTTTTATTAAGATCACCATGCAAGAAAGGAGTAGTTACATCCATTTGTTTTAATTCCCGATTAAAATTAGCAACTAAAGCAAGTATAATTCTAACAGTAGTGAATTTGACAACAGGAGCAAAAATTTCAGCATAATCAATTCCCTCCTTTTGAGTAAATCCCTTAGCTACTAACCTAGTCTTAAACCTAACACTTTTAGATTCTTGTTTCACCTTAAACAGCCACTTACAGTCCACTACATAACAACTAGCAGGTTTAGGAACAAGTTTCCATGTTTGGTTAATTCTTAGGGATTCCATCTCACTCTTCATAGCAGTAATCCATTCTTCAGAATATTTCGATTTTAATGCTTCTCTTTAAGCCTTAGGTTCATTGCACTCAAGGGATTCAAACACATTAAAGGCAAACTCAGACATATTACAATTAATCAAATTACAATCTCTATATCTTTCAGGTTTCCTAATGGTTCTTTTATTTCTATCCCTAGTGAGTTGATAATCATTCAAATCATGCATGTTATCTATTTCCTGCATATCATGCTCCACCTCATTAGGAATAATCTCATCTTGATTTTTAATAATTATATCATTCAATTTTTCTTCAGGAGGCGATTTAGGTTGATTAATAATAGGCATTTGCTCCACCTTATTTGGAGCATCATTTTCAGGAATAGGAACATGTAAAGGTAAACAAGAAAATTTATTTTCATTAAAAACAACATCTATGCTTATCACTACCTTAAACCCTGGTTCACTCTTATTCCAAAGCCTATAACATTTTACCCCTTCAGGGTATCCTAAAAAAACACATTTCTTAGATCTAGGTTCTAACTTATCAATCTTTTGATGCACATAGCCAGCACTCCCGAAAATTCTCAAACTATTTAAATCAAGAGGTTTGCCCGTGAACACAAGTTCAGGGCATTTTCCTCCTAAGGGAACAGAAGGAGACCTATTAATCAAATAGGCCGCAGTACAAACAGCTTCTCCCCAGAACTTCTTGGAGAGCCCAGATGTGGCCAACATAGCTCTCACCCTCTCTAAGAGAGTTCTATTCATCCTTTCAGCAAACAGATTTATGCCTTTTAATACCCCAAGTAGTACACAAATCATTCAATTTTTTATTACAAAACTCAAGACCATTGTCTGTCCCAAGAGTTTTAATTTTCTTTCCCGTTTGGTTTTCAATCATAATTTTCCAGTTTTTAAATTTATCAAAAACTTCAGATTTTTGTTTCATGAGTAAAACTCAAACTTTCCTAGAATAATCATCAATTATGGAAAGAAAATATTGGTTCCCTGTAGGGTGTAAATTTTGATCTCCCGAAAACAGGGAACTTCGTTTGTATTGATAAGAAGGCTTATTACAAACTAATAAATCAAAATTACAACAGAAGCCGAGGGAATGCCCTCTTTGTTTAGTGTGGGGACTTTTGGTAGCTACAGGATGCTTCGCTCGATGCTCGTGTCGAGTCTGCTTCCCTTGGACCGTTCGACCGAGGTTGCTGTGGAGCTTCAGTACGCAGTAGAAGCTCGGGTCGATAGAGTTCGTATCTTCTAGTTCACCGACGATCAGGGCTCAGAACTAGGAAGTGGTGCTGCAATGCAAAAATTATGCAGAGAGCTTGGTCTCGATGCCTTTCCCAAAGTTTTTCGACCTCTTTTAAAGGTTGTTGGAAGAGGCTCTTAAATGAAAGAGAGACAGTTTGGTTGTTCCTTGAATTATGGGATGTGACCATACATTGTTCAGAGATATCATGTTGTTCACCTGTACCATGAGCGGTCATTCGAGGAGCCGTATTTTGCATCACGTCACGTAGGAATGGGAAAGCCCCTCCTCGTATGTATGACAACGGCTGTCAGATACTCGAGTGGATCTGACCAACTCACCGAGCACCGGCGGCTCTCGCCCCTCGCTTGGACAAGTGAGGTAAGTCGCATTTATGAGGGTGCAGGTTGATTTGGCGTTTGTCCGATCACTTGTACTGTGAGCGGCCATTCGGCGGGCCTGGAGTACCAGGTGGGAAAGCGGGTTCCTGGTACTCGAGTGGGCTTGGACAGCTCGCCGAATGCCGGCGGATCCAGCTCTTGACTCGGACAGCCGAGGTGAGCTGCATTTATGAATGTTCAAGTCGACTCGACACCTGCCCAATCATTCGTACTGTGAGCGGCCACTCGACGGTCTTGGAGTACCGTGCCCTCTCCCTTCGGGTCGAGAGAGGTGGGAAAGCCCACCTTAGCACGTGGGGTATGCGGCCTTGAGGTTTGCTGGCGGATTTGACTGCAGACCCGGTCAGGCGAGTTGTGATAAAAGGTGAATTCTCGTGGCTTAGGCGAATTGTATGGGCGACTCCTCCTTACAGGTGGATTTCTTGCAAGTTCACGGAGGTATTTTTTTACCGTCTACATTCCCTTCATGCGTAGGCACACTAGAGGGACCCCACACATCAGTATGTAAATATTCAAGTACATTATTGCACTTAGGCTGATTAGAAAAGGAAGAAGTAGAAAAACTAACCCTATGTTGTTTTCCTAACACACAAGATTCACAGAAAGGGATGGAAGATATTTTATCACTACCAAAGTGACCTCCTTTATGCAAAATTTCTAATCCTTTATTACTCATGTGACCTAATCTATTATGCCATAAAACAGATTTATCACCTATCACAGAGTTAACAGAATCAAGTATTGGTTCAGCATGACAAACATACAAGTTATTTTGTTTTTAAGCAGTAAAAATAACAAGCAACCCTTTCAGAATTTTCATAACTCATTTACCCCATTTTCCCTCTAAACCATCATTTTCTAGAGATGCACAAGAAATCAAGTATAACGTAAATCAGGAACATACCTAACATCCTTCAAAGTAAACACAGAACTAGAAGAAAACCTAAGGCACACATCACCAGTTTCTAAAACATTGCATTTCTTTTCATTTGCCATTGACACAAAGCCATTCTCTATTTTTTGTAGTTTGAAAACAAGTTTTTAAAAGGAGTCATATGAAAAGTACAACCAGAGTCTACCGACCAATCTGATTTACACAAAGGATCAGATAACACAGAGTTCAAATATGCATAATCACACAGATTATTAATCATGAAAATTTTACTCATTTTACCCTCACAGACAGCCATATTAGCATGATTATTTTGCTGATTTTTCTTAGGCTTAGGACAATCTCTAATAAAGTGACCAGTTTCATGACAATTATAGTATTTTTTAACTTTAAACCTAGACTTAGATCTACCCCTTTCATTTTTAAATTTTTTCTTACTTGATTCCCTATTACTAGCATTCTTTTGGTTATTAGACCTATTCTGAGGCCTACCCCTCACAAGCATAACCTCACCAGAATTTTTATTTCCTCCAGAATGTTTTAAATTTAATTCCTTACTCTTAAGACCATTGACCACAATGTTAAGGGTAACATCATCTCTACCATATTTAATAGCAGATTTCACATCACTATATGAGTCAGGAATAGCATTTAGAAGGGCAATAGGAGTATAGTCGTCTATATATTTATCACCAGTTAACTTAATATCTAAAATAAGTTTTGTAAAAACATCTAGGTTCTCCTCAATGTCCTTAGACATATCCAATCTAAATTTGAAAAAAATTTCAAGCAAAAATATTTTACTGGGTAAAGAGGTTTCATTATAGAGTTCTTCAAGTTTATCCCAAAGGGTTTTAGCAGATTCTAAAATTCCAACTTTTCTAAGCACAGAGTCAGATAAGTTCAAATAAATTATGGAAGAAGCATTTTCGTTCATTTCAGCTCTTTTTCTTCAGTGTCAGAAGTCAAATAGGTCTGACCAATAGCCCTAAATGACTTCTGTTGAATTAAAATGCATTTTATTTTTTTGTTTCCAAATGCTAAAATCAGATTTTTCGTTGAACGGAACCATACCATATTGAACCATACCATAATTATTAGCACCAGACATTCTTCACACAGAAAAAATAAGCAAGGGTATCACAACAACTAGCACGAGCAGAAACAAAAAACAGGAAATATTTTCCAGCAAATAGATAACTGAAGAGTTGGGTTTTCAATATACCTGAGCGAAACTCTAGGAAGAGAGTTTCGATCTTACCCACACGGTGGTCCGGTGTCGTCGAGCAACGCGGCGGAAGCGTCAAGGTGTGACGAGAGCGCCTCAATGTGTTAGGATTTCAGACAAGAGAGCCGAAATTGAGGTTAGGGTTTTAGACAGAAGATTGACGGCGAGGGCCAGAAACGAGAGGCGGCGGGAATAGCGACGACTCAACGAGGCTCTGATACCACTGTAGAGAATCGTTGTCGTTGTTTGGCTCAAAAGTCTGCTTCTATTCAGTTCTTGTTCTTCTCTCACAGCGCACCACCAAGACACAAAAGGGGAATCACTCTCAGAGGTTGAAGGGGTCGCACAAAGGGTGAGAGCACAAAGCTCACAGTAGCACAAAGCTCACATAGGGGAGGGGGATCACACAAATCTGAGGAGAGCACAAAGCTCAATTTTCTTCTCACCGTCGTCGCTCCTCATCCTCCCTCTCAGAGCTACTACCATCTCTTCGACTTAAATAGCGAAGGGGGCAGCCGACACGGAGAGAAGGCTAAGGATACGAATGGTAGGAGCTTAAATAGCGAAGGGGGCAGCCGACACGGAGAGAAGGCTAAGGATACGAATGGTAGGAGCCGACCTACAGGGATCAGAGATGGGACTCGCAGCGGCAACCAACCGGACACAGGTATGAGAAAGGGGGTGAGTACCATCGGGTAGGAGGTGAAAGGTTTAGGAATAGGCTGAAACAAATAACAAGGGGAACATGGCCCGGTAGCAAATGGGCCAGCAAGATGTTGGGCCAACTAAAAATAGCAACAAACTGTTCTTAAGAAATACAGAGTATTCTTTCCCAACGGGAAAAGTCAGCAGTAGAGATGGAATGGATAATTTTTAATTATCCTGGCAAATTTTTCAATGCTTATGCATGTTTATGTAACCGTTCGTTTACAGCTGAAGAACTAGCAGAATCCATCTGTATGTTGTAGATGATTTCTGTGATTGAAATAAATCCAATGAATTAACTTTTAGAGTCAAACTAATCTAAGTTAATATTATCATTGGCATGTATGAGGTATAACACTTTGGTGCATATATATCTAATATAATGGACGGATATTTCATTAATAACGCTTTGGTGCTTATTTAATGTAATAGATGGGATTCGTTGGATATTTTCTATGAGCGGGCAAGGCCAAGTTGTTGGCAGCCCTATGATCTGAACGAGTGCCA